CGCGGAGATATGCCGCGGGGGCGGGGGTTAAAGAAGCCGATTTTGACTGGCTGCGCGCGCGCTGGCGCGGGATGCGGTTAGGATGTGGTTCTGCGAGGCGTCTTTGATCTCGCGTCATTAACGCACGTGTGGAGCAGCCGCTGCTCTGCCGCTGCTGAGCCGCTGCTCCGTGCTGCTGCTGCTGCTGCTCGCTTCACCCGCGCGCCGCGGGGGCGCATCTCTGATGAATGAGACTGCCGCCCCGCGCCCCCGGGCCGGTCGCCCTCCCCGTCCCCCTTCCCCTTTCTACAGCCATCGCAAAATGCTGCTGTCGCTCGGGATCGGGAGCAACTTTCGCTCATCGCGGTCGCGGCGTCTTATCGTCTTGCTTGCGGGGTCGAAAACACCGGAGTCATCGACCGGCAAAGCAAAGACGGGGGGAGAGAAGAAAAGAAGATGTGTATACTCACCCTTGAGGACGTTGCTGACGAGCGTGAAGGGCAGGCAGACGACGTTGACGAGCAGGTCGGCGATGGCCAGGTTGGCGATGAACAGGTTGGTCGTGGAGCGCATGCGCGGGAACGAGGCGACCACCATGACGACACACACGTTGCCGAGCACGCCGACGACGAAGACGGCCAGGTAGGCGACGCAGATGACGACAGTGAGGCCGACGCCGTAGCGCAGCTCGCCGCCGTCGCAGAGGACATGGCCGTCGTTGCCGTCGTTGTCGTCGGGGAACAGGTACGAGCTGTTGGCGGTTGTCGTGCTGTTGGCCGTCAACATGCCCTCCATGACATGGCGCCTGCGGCTGGCGGTGTGGCACCCCAGCACCTCACGCCATCGCCTCCAACCGCGCCCGCGACGGCTGGGTCTCCTCGCGCGCCGGCGCCCTAAGGACAAAGAGGTTTTTGCAATCGTCGCAATACGATACATGTACTCCACAAGCACTCAAAAACTTTCATTCACTTCAAATAGTCATGGATGGTAACAGTTTTTGTGCGGTACTCCAGCCAGATTTTATGGGTCTACTTGCGGTAGGGGCTCATGACAGTCTCCGTTGCGTTGGCGAGGGGACTGGGGACTGAGTTTGCAGGGCTCAGCGCCCAGCCAGGCCTCCTCTTCTCTCTCTCTCTCTCTCTCTGCTCCTCCTCTCCCTCTTCCCGGACGGTACGTCCGAGTGCGGGACAGAGCCCGCCTCGCCCTTGCTTGTTAAACCGCTTGCCGCCCAGAGCAGGGCACCCCAGGGTGCCTCGCCTCGCCCCGCCCCGCCCCGCACCGCCACCCCTGTAGGATGCGTGGGGTTCGTTCTTCCTCAAGCAGCCTCCAGTCCCTGTGCGACGCTACCGGTTGTGTCCGATCGCCCAACGCTCTTTTATTGCGTTTGTAGGGGGTGAGGGTGGAGGCTGAGGGAGGGACGCACCTTGAGATTGTTATGCAGATTCATGATAATAGCGGCAGCCCCCC